ATTTCTTGCACGGGATTACAATTAATGCGTAATTTTCAGTATGACTTATTGGTTGATTCCAATTATAGAGTCTTGCTGGCTTACGAAGTAATGAATTTCTAATTTTGGGTTTACTTTTTTTTTATAAATGATGCTGTTGTAAATTCCGATTCCAAAAAAAAATTTTGTTCGTTTTTTGGATTATTATTATCGTTGATAAAATTTAGAAGATTTTGAAGTTCTTGTTTTGTGGTTGAGTCAAATTCCGAAACTGGAATTCTTGTTTTGGAAAATTTTTGTTTAAGGACTTGTTTTCGTTTTGTGATTATTGCCTTCTATCTTTTTTTTTCAATCTGATGTATCTTATTTTTTGCTTGTGTGTTGTAATTAAAATAGCGTATCTTTCGTTTTTGATTAAGCAAATGTGTTTGTGTTTTCCTAGATTATCTTTTGACATAAGTGTCAGAATGAAGGTTGCAAAATCCAGGAATCCAGGAGTTAGATTTTCATATTACCTAAACAGATACTTCTTACAATTTTTGAGTGGTTATCCTAGTCTTGGGGCATAGACTGTCGAGTGTAAACGGGTTGGAGAGAAAGAGTATACCAATTTGTTAGAATGATTTTGTATTTTCTCGGTGACTAAGTTTTTTTTTTTGAGAAAACTTACTTAATCTTAATCAGGGTTTTGATATAGGATTGAGGGTTGGAGAATAGTAAATCAAGCGACAAGGTTCTGGTATAAATAGAACACAAATAGATTGTAAGGTTCTATTTTAGGTTTACGACTTGCTTGAGCCCGGGTCAACCAAGAGTAGGGGCTCATGTGAAGGATGAGTAACCGAAATTCTTCACTGTTTCTCTGATTCAAAATTGTTAGTTATTCAACAGTTTTTATTAGTCTTGAGTCCTTAGAAAGGGTTGGAGAATCGAGGTTTGAGCTTATTAGACACTTTTTACTAGGAGGTGGGGAGAACAAACTTCTTCTAATTGATCCAAGGGAAACCTTGGTATCAAATGTTTTTAAATGAAGTAAAATATAGATCGAAATTTTCAGTAAAAGATCCAAGGATAGCCTTGCAGATCTGCGTTTACAAAAAGCTTACATTGTTACAAATCAAGGAAAGCTTTTGGCAATTTTTGAGTTTGAGGTTTAAGTTTTAGTGAAAGATTATAATTTTTAAAAACGGTTGATATTAATTTCTGATAGATTAGGGTTGTCTTTTAGATGAAGAAACAAAAATGCATTAGCTATGAAATAATGAGGATATCAGTCCTTGAGAAACAAAGAAATTTTCATAAATTCATTCAACCTAACTTTTAATTAAATACTAACTAATTTTTGTATGTTTTGTTCAATAAATTTTTGTTTTTCTAATTTTTTGAAGTTACTGCAGATTTAATGAAATGAATGGCATTTGAATCTTTTTAGTTAGAAAATATATTTAAATATCATTGAGAGATATATTGCTCGGAAATCAATATTACTACTCCAAATGAATTTTATTTCTTGTTATCGAATGAAAATCTCTTGCATTGCGAATTTTGTAGAGAAATAATCGTTGTAGTCTGCGTCGTTTCACGATATAGGGGCATGGTCTGTCGTTCGGGTTTCGACCTGGTGTAAGCTCTTTTGTTTGTTTGAATTCAATAGACTTATTGTCACGTAGAGATATACAAATTAATTTTCCAATTCTACCGAACATTTTGTGGTGTGTTTTTGATGTTTTTTCTATTTTGAATTTGCTGAATCTAAAGTTTTTTTTTCAGGTCTTGTTCGAGCTTCTTGGTCGCACCAGATGAGTTTATGTCCGGAGTGGCTCACTCATAGAGTAGTTTCAGATAGAGTACACCGTCTGTTCGTCACGCTATCTTTTTTTCGGCCGGACATATTCGTGCAACTTTTTAGTCTAATAACGATAATAACGATCTTAATCTTACACTTATATCTCCTAGTCTCTATAGATCTAGTGTATACTGGTAATTGCAAGCTAGATATCAGGAACTGTTCTGAAGGAGAACGACTGTTTGCTGACTTATATTTAATCTGTTCTGTTTGCAGAAACTACGAATAGTTTCAGCAACACAATTTATAGAAAGTGTTAATTATGGATCTTGATTCGTTAGTTCGAAATACTTTACAAAGATAAATTTATCAACAATATAAATAGATATAAATAATAGTTTTAAACTGGTCCAATCTCGTATGTGTCCCTTATGTCGCTAAACTCCCATCTTATTGTCGATTCCATATAATTCCTCGTAAATCGAAGATAAATTCAATCGCTTTGCGTTTGAACATATGTCAATAAACTCCAATAGACTTTCAAAAAAATAGCTAATTTGCAACCTGACTCACAATCAGAGAATCAATTTTATTTTTTTTAATCCAGAAAAAATGGGCCGGTTAGAGAAGGTTAGTAAAACACTCATCAAAATGTTTTTTCATTAACTACTTGCATTATCTCATTGTAAATAAATAAAAGTTTAGTTTATTTTCCAATCACTTTCAAATAGCAGATGATTTGTTTCTCTTTTTTTTTGTTTTATACTTTTTTGTGTTTTCATTACTCACAATAACTTTGGATTTATAGGTACCCAGGGGAAGAATAATGCTCATGTCTCAGAGAACAGTTTTGAGAGATTTTTTTTTGAAGTTATAATCAGCCCAAAAGCAGTAACATGAGAAATCTAATCAATTTTTTCTTATTGGCGCAAAACATTTTTCGGTAGTTTATTTTGACGATTGTAGATTTTGGGTCATTTTTAACGAGCTGAAATGTCTGGTACTGATTAAAAAAAAGCATTAGATGTTCACTGAAAGCATAAAGTAAAACGCCATGAAATTGTTAAGCTAATGCAGTCCGTTCTGAACAGAAACTTAAATATCCTCTAGTAATTGAAAAATCGCAAGTGTTTTCATTCTAATGATGAGGAAATCGCTTGGCCAAACTCTCAAAAAAATAAAGGAAAAAAATTTAAAAACATTCAAAACATGTGGTTTATATCATACTTTTTTTCCGTAGATATTCAGTTTGGAATCATATGGATAGTGTATTCAGTGTATGGGGATCAGCCCGGAGTCAAGACTTCACAGGACAAACTGCAACAAAATTTCAAGCCGAAAACATTCAGGCAATTTTTTTAGTTTTGACAGAGCTGAATCCAATTCAAATGTTACCGACGCAATGATGCTTTGTTCAAGTTTAACAGACTTATCCAAAAATGCGCTCATTTCCACATTTCACAGTTTTCGGATGGCAGCTTCCCATTACTTCGGCCGTTTTTACGAAAACATAAATTTCAAATCAGAAAATTGCTGCAGTGGTATTTTGGTTTTCGATAAGTTTAGAAAAACAGTTGAAACTGAAAGTTTCAAAAGCATAAACTGTAAAAGTGTTCATGCAAATCAGCATTTTTTTGTTTATAATTTTCAAACTATTCATAAATTGTTTTTTTTTCAAGTGTAGAAAGGCCTTTTTATATATTGACTCGAGTCTGATAAAACTGATGTCTGAAACCTGGTAGAATGAAAAAAAAACAGGGTCTTTAAAAGAGAAGTTTTCTGGTTTTAGGGTTGGCTTATATTATTTGCAAACAAAGCTACTCGTGTCAAGGCAAAGATCCGAGGTTTATACTGCTCCTCGATTAATTTAATTTGTGCTGCAATCTCTAAATTAGAACTTTTCGAACAATTTTTTCAAACTTTTTCTTCAAATTTTTTTTTCAGACTAATTTGAAACTTTAAAAAGCCTTTTTTGACGTAATTTTTATATCATTCAAAAGATGATGTTTTTTGGGCTTCAAAAAAATTTTGCTGTCTCGAAAAGATATATCATCTTGGGATCATTTTTTGTATAGTTAAGGGGGTTAAAAAAATTGACCTTTTGGGGCAATTAACTCGCGATATGTTTCGCACTATTAACTGAAATTTAATTGGTCTTAGAAATCCTTCCAAATTGTTTAGGGAAGCCCATTTGCCACATTTGATTTGTTACTAGGAGCGAAGTTCGTCACTTTGTACTTTATCTAGCGTGTGGGGAGATGATTTTCACAAAAATCACAAATATTAAAAATATGTTTTTTTTTCTTTTTTTTATTACATTTATTTTTTCATGTTGCCAAAACTCCAAAGACCTTAAAAAAGCAGTGGGAACATTCCAGCAACCTTGTTAGTAGTGTTTTCGCCATTTGCCTTACATTTTCAACTTAATGAAAAAAAATTTGTGTTTCTTTAATCCAATTTTATTGTTTCGAGTTTTGAAGAAATTCACGCAAAATTTGTTTTTGGTGGTTTTTCTTTCTCCAGACAAATGTCTTTTTAATCAACAATTTTGTCAAAAGTTCTTAATATTATTCGTAAAGTATTGTTGTCTTGAGCTCATCAAGAACATACCTGACATTTTTTTGACTAAATTTCCTTATCATCTGGAAGTTAACCTTGATTTTTGTCCTAAACTCAAACTTAAAAAGACCTTTCACCTTCAATCTTTTTGATGTAAACTTATGAGAATTTAAAAAAATAGCCAATTTGGCCAATTCGGAAAATTAACTCGCCAGACATTTCTTGCTAAAACGCATAAGCGGAGAAATTTAATCCATCTTAGAAATCAATCAAATTGAATTGAGGCATGATATTTGGTCTATTCGAAACTGTGTAATATGCAAAATATATCATTTTCTACTAAACAAAGCGTGGGGATAGTTTTCTGGCAATTTTTAATTTTTTTTTGAAAACTGCATCCAATTTCATCCGTTCTTTATTTGAAAGGGAGTTATAACAATATACCATAGATATTAAAATGCATATTCCATAGATATTAAAATGCATATATTAAAATGCAGTCTGAAGAAAAAAGTAATCAATGCACTCAAGGCTTCGAACGACCAGTCTGGGTTTGATTTGATGCCTAATTGGACTCCCAAAATTAGAGAGAAAACAAACCAATAACTTTACAATTTTCGTTTTCTTTGTGGCAGCCATTTACAACTATGATTACCTGTTGTGTGCAAAACTAGCATTTAAAAAGACATTAATTTATCAATAGACAAACTACACTAGATGTTACTGTTTAAAATTGGTTGAAAATATTCATAATCTATCATTCTAGAAAAACGTCATCTTCAATTGATCCTGTATTTCATTATCAATAACATTGCATAATTGAGTTCAAGTTCTCAATCTTATATCATTTTTTCGATTAGTAGAGTTTTAAAAATGTTTTAGTTTTCATAACTATGCCCTTCTCATCTCATATGTTGGTTACTTTTCTCTTAATTTTGAGTTTTTTCCGAGTGTCTAATTGGAACAATTGCTGTCCCGTCTGATGCTGGCTCTTCGCTCCTGCATCCTCGCCTCATTTTTGGCTGTGGGTACCAGCATCACCGGCAGAAGTGCTATCTGGACAACGAAGTTAGCCACACTGCCCCCCTTGAGCAGCTTCTTCTTCACACCTCCCCACCCTGTACTGGCCATCACTATCATGTCCGCCTCGAACTTGTCTGCCTCCTGGCAGATCTCATGGGCCAGGTTCTCCTTCCCTGTCACCTATGACCGAATACAAACTCTAGTTCACAAAAAACATTGGGGAATTTCCATTTTTTTTGAAGTACAATAGGTTAAATGGTCGAAACAGAAGTGAATTAAAAAAAATTGAGGGTTTATTTATTGTTCAAGTAAAGAAAGCTGGCTATTATATACCTTTATGGAGGAGTCATTAATTGTCATTGTAGTCATTAGTTGCCGGGGTTTTGAATTTATACCAGAACTAGCATAGATTATTGTATGAAGTGTACTTGCAAAATCTGTTAATTTTTTATTTCAAAAATGTTCAATAAATGTTGACTGATACTTTTGAGGTGATCCCTGCTTACCTCGTTCTGGGAGATGAGTACAGATCCATGGGAAGCTAGTTTGCAGCTGACTAGTTTGTAGTTGTAGTGGTCTTCCAGTTCCGTCACTTTCTTCAGCTTATCCTGCAATTTACTCTCCCAGTTCTTAAACGGAGTGTTGACGCCTGAAGCAATCGAAAATCTACAAAGCAGTGTGAACAGTTACTACTTCATAATCGGTCACAAAATTTTTCAATTTCATAGAAAGTTCTCAAATTTCAGTAACTCAAATTTAGTTTTTTGCGCAACTTTTTTGATCTGACGCGTTTTATATCAAGACAAATTAATCATATTTTTCGAGTTTAACTTTTTTCTGGCATTTTGATTTATCCAAAAATCACCAAAACTTTCCTGGCAATAGTCAGATTTCTCATTTAAAGTTGATAATGGCAGAGACAACTGATGGAAAAATACGAGCTGATCAGCCAAAAAATGAATGCAGTTAATTGGTTCCAAAAATGTTTGGCCACACAACATCACCGATACATCTCTTCCACAGCCGCACAAAATGAGCTATACACTTGGGCTATCTGAGAACTGACCTTCTGTAAGTGTAAATAGAGGGAGTGACACAGGTTCGGGTATGTGGAACACTCTCACTATGTCCGAATCCCGCCTCATGTTTGCAATGTACCAACTGAAGGCCCTCTCGCTGTCCGGACTCCCGTCAACTGGCACGAACACTTTCCTAGTCTTCGTCGACTGCGAATCGGTCATGCTAAATTGTGCGATGCTGTTTTTATATCTATTTCTTTTTCAAGTTATTGTAAGTTAAAAGTAGTTGGAGTCAGATTGTAAAACTTTGTCTCGATTTTCTGAAAAATAGTTTTTTTTTATGAAACTATCTAACAAGGTGACTGATTTTGTGATGGGAACTTTAAAAATGATAATGCTGTTTTGAGATAATGTGTTATGAAGAGAATGAATTTTAATAGAAAATTTGTTGGGTTTGATTTCTGACTGAAAGGGATATATGATGAAACGAAAAAATTCAATTCGACTTTTTCATCAAATGAAATTGAGGTATTGGTAATGGCGTTTGATGGTAAATGCGGTGTTTCCTGGGTGCCTGAAACAATTAACGAGTGAAAAGAAAACAAATAAACAAAATATGCAATATGGATAAGGCTCTAATCAAAACAACAGAAACATTTTCAATTGTTACTCAAGGGATTTTGTTGTTGTTGTTTTAGAGGGTAGCTAACAGAATTTTGCGTTTCCTATTTCTTTTTTTGTTCGTTACGCTAGCAGTGAAATTGGCGATGGTAGTGAAATCTCTACTTCAATTTTTTCTGTTGTTGAGTTAAGAACATATAATTTTGACGTCCAAACGTTAAATTTGCTCGAGCGAGGAGTTCAATTGATTGCGGCTAAATTAGATCATCTAAATTTATTTCAAGGAATTACTTTTGCAAAAAACAAAACGTACGGCAGATGGTGAACAAATAGACTAAAAATTCTGCTCAAAGGTTTTAATAGACTAAAAAGAAATGCTAAAATTTCGTTTAATAATATATGAGCACATCGTAGTCGCGGACGCTGAAATACGCAACAAAATAGCTGCACTGTTTTCATCAATGAAAAAATTTATGCCTTTGTGGTGCAGCTAACATGAAGTAATTGCAAATTAATTAATATTTTAGGCGAAGTTTGGAAATAGTTTGATTTTTTTTGTTTGCATTTTGCTACAAATGCCTAGTGAGTAAACCCAATTTGAATCTCCAGTTTTCTTTCAAATTTCTTGACAAAAATTTCAAACTTTATTGAGTTTCAATTGAATTTCATGGAGTACATAAATTTTTTTCTGTAAAACTTAGGTGCAACACACTAGAGAGGGAGTTACCGACAAGCTCTACTGTTCACTAGCGGCACCCGTGATGTCAAAGAAGATTGAAAGCAACATTTGAACTCCTAATCAGTCAATGATAAAAATCAATTATAAACAGGGGCGGATCTAGGATTTTCTCGAGGGGGGGGGGGGCGGATTTTCAAAAAATTTTCCAAAATTTTGACGACCTTTTTTTTTAGGTCAACCAAATTGATTTTTCGAGCTCTCCCAAAGCACTGTTTTGCCCCCTTTTTTGGCTAAATTTTCAGCGCCGCAGGCAAATTTTTGAAAAAACAAACAAAAAAGGTAAAATTTTTGAAAAAACAAACAAAAAAGCCGTTTTGAAAAAACAAACAAAAAATGGATTTCTGAAAAAGTATCAAAGGGGGGACCCTTTGGGTCGGCAGGGGGTCGAATCCCTGAGGGGGAGGGGGCGTCCGCCCCCCCCCCCCCCCCCTTAATCCGCCCCTGATTATAAATCTATTTTTCAGCTGTCAGTTCTTCCAGCTTTGGCTTTATTTTACGAATAGAAGTAAAAAAAAACATTGTAATTTTTAAGACGCACAAGTAGAGTGTGGTAGAGGAATTTTTTTACACGTTTGGGTAGATCGACAATTGGTAACCGGCAACTTTTTGTAACCAGCGGAAATTCGTAGTAAGACGTTGACAAGTAGTGAACACTTGCACCGCTGGGATTTATAATAGGAATAATGCGTGTAAATCGTCAGTGCTGATTTAAACTGTCCGGACGAAACGAGCAAATTTTGAAACTTCAAGCGCGTTGGTTTCTCTCAAATTGGTTTAAGATTAGAAAAAGTGAAGGGAACAAATGTTGTTTAAATTTTCATCAAAATTTTTGTGATGCAATAGTTTTTCGAAATTCTCACCGAAAGTTTTAACAATATAAGACTTTGTTGGGCTGTGTATGTAGCTTCTTTTGATATAGCTTTCTCAATAATCAAGGCAATTTTTTCAGCGTAATTCTTGATTAACTAGAAAAAAGCCAAATTGCACCATGATAACTCTAGTGAAGTTATAAGCAAATTTTGTTCTGTACTTTTGTCAAATTTTACCCCAATTCGAGAAAAACGCGTTTTTTTAGAAGTTTTTTTTCTACAGACTAAACAAAAAATTTTTCAAAATGACTTTCGGTTAACCAGAAATTCTGACTGTCTTTCTCGTGGTTTTCATACAAAAAATTAATTCTCAGATGACTATCATTTTTAATTAAAACCATCAATCCGCTGATACAGGAAAATAAATCAGTCATCTTTTAATATAACTTTTCTTCATCAATCATTCCAGAAATTTAACTGAACGCAAGCTATCTCAGGATTAGTTCCCACATGCATCGAAAAAACGCGCATACGGATATGAATTGTAACCATAACCATAAAAATACTAATTTGATGAAAATAAATCAAAAATTTGTCAATATATTTTCCGTTAATTACAAAACGCATTCAGGACTTCTTTGTATAACCGTACAGAAATTTCAGAAGTTCTGCTTAAGGATGCCACCTGAACAAAAAACAATCTTTTCTCGTATAAATGCATCACTCTAAAGTTTGCGTTTTACCGTAGCTTAATTTGAAAAAAGGCTGTCCCGCAAACCAAGGTAGCTAGCATCCGCTCCAAATCAAGAAAACCAAAAACAAGGAGCTAGTGAAAACGTGACTTTTTTAAGGAAACGTGTTTGTGCAAACGCTGCTAGTTCAGAGAAAAAATATTTCGAATCAATCACTGATTCAAAATACAAATCTGGTTTGGATAATTTGATATTTGTGCAAAAGAAATCTTTTAAAACAGGCTTTTACTACTCGGATGTAGCAAAAAAAATGATACGATTTATCATGAACTAAATATTGTATTAAAAATTTAATTTAAAAAAATGTACAGGATTTTTTAAAATCGAAAACGTTTGACTGGACTAATCTAAAATTTTTCTTCCGAATTTCGTAACGAAAGTAACGGAATATTTGTACTCGAGGTGGTTTTTTTTTTTCTTCAGACAAATTTCGTCTTTTTCACTAACCATTTTTGACGGGATTAATTAATTTGATTCAAAAGGTATTGTTGTTTTGAGCTTAAATTTGATAAAATATTTCACCTGTGATCATTTTTCGTAAAGTTACGGTAGTTAAAAGATTTCCACTCTGACCAATTTTAGACAACAACGAGATTTATATTTCGCGCTATTAACGCGTAAGCGGAAACTTAAACCGTCTTAGAAATCGTTCCAAATTGGTTGCAGGAAGCTTTTTTGCCACAAAATGATTTGTTATTAGGAGCGAAATTTATCACTTTGTACTTCATATGGCGTGTAAGGGTATGATTTTTGCAAAAACCTTAAATTTAAAAATATATTTAATATTTATATATTTTAGTTTTTTGCATTTATTTTTCATGTTATTTTGATTTTTTTTAACATTTTTTTTCATGTTGTTACTGCTCCATAGACCTTGAAAGGCAGTCGAAACATTCAGGCCTTTGCTCTGATACGAGCAGTCTTGTCTGATTTTCTAACTATTGCGGTAACTCCATCCCTCCTCTCTTGAAACATATTTAAAAATTTTACAAAACTTATCTCCAAGCTTGCCTCAATAAACCACTGAAACGTATTTTATAAAGTTCAACTTTCTACCAATTAAAACTTTGAAAATCCAATTTTCTGATTTTTAAAAATTCAACCTTAAATTTTCTCAAATTATTTTTGAAAATTTTTAAAATTTTTATAGACACCTCCAAGGATTGTTGAAGGTTTTTACCAAATAAGTTATTTCTCTGATAAATGTTTTTTTTTAAAAAAAATTGACAAAATTTTTGTAGAAATTTGTTAATCAACGGCTTTTATTAAGGGGCTTCATAGATAGCAATTTTGCATACAAAATTTTTGAAATAGCCTCTTAAAATTTTTCCGTAGATTTTTTGCTGCAAAAAGAAAGTTAACTGAAGCAAACACTTTCGAACAAAAAAAGGTTTTGCATGCGGAGTCAATATCCAAGTTCAGATTTCAAAAAAAAACAGAAGAAACCGATTTAAGTTGTTTCAATTCAGCAGCAAAAACTAAACATCTTCTTCATAGAAGTAATAATTTTTTCTGCGTGGTAGAATAATGTCAAGCCGCAATATAAGTTTCAAGAAATGGAAATTATAATTGCGGGTTGTATTGCACTTATTTTTCAAATGCTTGTGATTGAATTACATATTGATTGAGAGCCAGTGAACAGTTCGTGGCATCCTTCCAAAATCAGTTTTTTTGTTGAATTTTTGGAAGCAGTTTTGACTTTTCGGCTCGTAATATGCAATTGAGATGGAAACTAAAAAAAGGAAATTGAACCAAAGTGAAACAAAATTTTGCGTCTTAGAAGTTTGTAGAGCATTGCTCGTCATACCTGTATGGCCAAACGATATTTGAAACTCTTTAAAATAGTCTTTGGTGGCAATATTCACCAATTTCAAGAAATAGGCATCAATTTTATGCAAAAATCTTAATAATAATTTAATTCCGAAGTTTTTTTAAAGTGCTATAAAAGTTTCATACAAAATTTGAATTGAGAAAACTGTAGATGTAACCTTTACATTTGCCACAGTTTTCTAAGTTATTTGCTAGATCTTTATTGTTCAGACTTTCATAACGAAAGTAACGGAACGTTTTTGCTCGGGTAGTTTTTTTTCTTCAGACAAATTTCGACTTTTTAACTAGCCATTTTTGACGGATTTTTTTTTTTATATCGTTCGAAAAGTATTGTTGTCCTGAGCTTAAAGTTGAGATATTTTACCTGTGATCAATTTTCATAAAAATAAGGGGCTTAAAGATTAGATTAGCTTAAAGATTGGTAGAAAGAAGCTTGTTTGCCGTAATTGATTTGTTAAAATGAGCGAAATTTATCCTTTTGAACTTTATATGGCTTGTGGGGGGATGACTTTCACAAAAAAAACTCAAATTTTATAAGAAAAAAAGTTCATTTTATTTTATTACATTTAAGTTATTGCTGCTCCAGAGACCTTAAAAGGTAGTCGGAACATTCAGGGCTTCGCCCTGATACGAGCAGTCTTGTTCATACTTTGGAACAAAAATACTCTAAAGATTATTGAATAAAACTGATGCATAAGAAAGCCAAAGTGCATTTTCTTGAATTGAGTACAAACTGGTGCCAAGGACGCCTTTAAAAGGGTTTCATTCGTAGACGAATTTTGCTCCATAAAATTGAAAATCCCAATTTTTGTTCCGACTTTCG